GCTCAAACCTACTGAGGACTGTGAGGATGGGGCAGGGCCAGGCCATGTTTTATTCCGTCATACCTACGGTCACCACACATTGGGCAGAGCTGACTCAGCAACTAACAATAACACTGGATTCTGAACTATGCCCTCTCCACTCTAAGCTGCTTATCAAATCATTCCTTTCAATCGCATCTAGTAACCTCTTGAAAGCAACCCTGGTAAATATTCTTTACTTCGCTGCATTCTCAGTGACGTTTTAACACACATTATAAATCCAGCCTCCCTTCAGGGACACTGTCTTTTCATTTCTGTACCATGTACTGAATGTTTGTAACACACCAGGCCAAGTGCTAGAAATATCAAAGTGGTTAAGGAACTATATCTGCCCTTAAGGACTCACATCTTGGGCAACAGAAAGATTTACAGACAAATACAGTACCATTAACGATGAAGGTAACAGCAGTAAAAGTGATGTTACTAGATATTACTGGTGAAAGGTCCTGAAATTCTTGGCAATGGATACATTCTAAAAATGGAAGGTACCTTGACTTTTGCTTCCATTTTGGGAAACGGGGAAGAGTATTGCAATAAGAAGAGAGCAATGCTGTCCGGTTTCCTGTTCCCTATGGTTATAACTGGGATGGGGAGTTAGGAGTGTGGGATAATGTATATGCTAAATTTAGCCTAAACCTTTTATTTTACATTCTTCCCCAAATGATTTTGTCCCTAGATTTTGCTATGCAGTACTCCAGGAAGGATAAAGAAAGCTCACCTCATCCCTGCTATCTGTGTAACTACACATCCCTGATCCAGATGGTTTCTCCCCTTCAAAATAATTGCAAACCAGATTAAAACCACATGCAGGAACTGTTCCAGCTGGCTTTTGGCTTCCTCTGATGTACATTCCTTGAATAAAGCAGTTGTAAAAATCTGATTTAAAATAAGGAACATAAAAAAGCTTCATGACTTGTATTAGATCACCTCAATGTCCTGCTATGTTAAAACCCCCAAGCATGGCCATTGGAGCAACAGAATATATCAGCCAGCTAAAGTATATCCAAGTGTAAGAAACAAGTTTGTTTTTATAATTAAAAACAACAACAACAAATCCCCTAACATTTATTCAAACAAACAAACTCACTGCCACCAAATCAATGCTGACTCCTGGTGACAGGGTGGAACTGCTCTGGTGGGTTCTGCGACTGTAACTCTTTATAGGAGTAGAAAGCCTTATGTTTGTCCTGCAGAGTGGCTGGTTTCAAACTGCCAACCTGCAATTAGCAGCTGAATGCATAACTACTATGTATATATATATATATATCAACAGGGATCCTTTATTTTACCAGGATAAGTCAATCTATAGGGACAGTAATTAGACTAATAGTGTGGTAGTTACATAATCTGGTGTCAGTTTGGGACTTGAGAGGATTAAGAGTGAAGGGGTGGAGTCTAGTCTGTCAATCAGGTCATAGCCAATAAGGCCTTTGTGTGGGCATGACCTTCTCCTGAGAATTCTGGGAACTCCTGTATTCCCTCCTTGGCAGCAGGAGACACTTCTCTCTCTCTCAGCTCACTCCCTTGGAGACGCTTTACTGACAAGACACATGGCGCTGCATACACCCTGCGAGCTGGAGAAATCATATGGATTTACCCTGATACAGCCAGAACCCTGGACTAGAGAAGTCAGGTGGAGACCCCTGCCAGCGCTAAGATGCTTCCAGTGCCACTTGATCCCACCCACTGGCCTGTGATCTTCCTGCATTCAGTATCATTGCATGTTTTGCTAGTCTAAAGAGGACTTTATAGTTTGGTATCGGACATATGGGCTAATGTTGGACTTATGGACTTGATCTGGACTGGGCTGGGATGCTTTCTCAATGTTCATTGCTCTTGTATATAAACCTCTTCCTTATACAAATATGAGTCTCCCTGGATTTGTTTCTCTAGTCTACCCAGACTAATACAAATAGTTAGGGCAGGGCAGTTGTGGAGAAACAGGGAGCTAATAATAATGGGTATATGAACAAACAAAATGTCCTAAAATTGATTGTGGTGATGAATGCACAATTCTTTCATATATTTAGACCATTGGAAAAAAAAAGTGGACTTGTTAAGCCAAACAATTGTACTGATATTTAGACTAAAAGCACTAAAATTACATTGTCTCTAAAAAGCAAACAAACAAATAAATAAAAATGATTTGTAACACATACATACAGCTTATTTGGAAGCAACAAAATAGAAACACAGCCCAAGTGATTCCTAAGTTTGAAATTCTCCATTTCTATTTACTTATTTACTTTCTTAGCAGGTGGTCACCACTGACCATATAAAGCAGGGAAGAACTAACGTTTGGAAATTTTTCCTGCCTAAAGTACCAGCCCCATTCATTTTCAAATTTACAACTGGATCTTTCTGGTTCTGGTCAATTCCTCAGCAGAGCAGAGTTATTAGGCTTTGACATTTTGCACCTCCAGGATTAGTTCTGTCTTGCCTGAATATTACTGTAATCATTCAGGGCTTCTAGAGTTCACCTCTTTGTCCAACCATAGTAAATGTTTCCCTGTTATTTACCTACAATCCACTTACTCTACAGTTCCAAATAACAGTAGAGAGCTTTAGAGGCTTTTTATAAGCTGGTGCTGTTATTAGGTGCCATCAAGTTGGTTTTGACTCATAGTGACAGAAACCACCGCCTGGTCCTACAACATCCTTACAATTGCTCTTATGTTTGAGCCCATTGTTGAAGCCACCGTGTCCATCCATTTTGTAAGGGCCTTCCACTTTTTGGCTGTCCCTCCACTTTAGCAAGCATGCTATCCTTCTCCAGGCACTGGGCTTTCCTGGTAACATGTTCAAGAACTTGAAACCAAGTTTTGCCATCCTTGCCTCTAAGGAGCAGTCTGGCTATACTTCTTCCAAGATAGATCTGTTTGTTCTTTTGACAGACCATGGTACTTTGAATTTCTTTGCCAATACCACAGTTCAAACGCATCGATTTTTCTTTGATCTTCTTATTTAATGTCCAATGTTCACATGCATACGCGGCAATTGAAAACACCATGCATGGCTTGGACCAGGCACACCTTAGAGTAACATCCTTGCTTGCAACGCTCCAAAGAGGTCTTGTGCAACTCAGTTTTTTATCTCCTGACTGCTGCTTCCATGAACATTGGCTGTGGATCCAAGCAAGACGAAATCAGCTTCAGTCTTTTCTCCATTTATCATGAAACAATCATTAATGAGACTGTGGCCACTCAGCCTCCTCAGTGTGCAAGCTGTCATTATGGCAGGGCTGGAATGGCTGCTTAACTAAGACAATGAGTGCTAATGTTAGGTAGGCCAGCATAGGACTGGAGGATGTCCGTTAATGGGTTTCCAGAGGGTCAAGCTAGGGAAACAAAAAAGGAGTGGCGCACCGCACATGTTCAGGGTTCCCGCCAGTAGGCAGGGGTGGGCGTGAACTTGAATTGGAACACCTAGCCAGGTAAATTCAATTCAGCCAATGGGGTCGATCAGGGGTCTTCCACCACGCCTCCCTGTGGAATCCTTGAAAAGGCAGAAGCCCGGAGGGGAGAGAAGGAGAGAGCCGAACCTAGATGGGAAGAGAGGAGAACCTAGAGGGGAAGGAGGAAGAACTTAGACGAGAGGAGGAGAGAACGAACCTAGACGGGAGGAGAGAGAACTTAGGTGCAGAGAGCTTTGGCACGCTTTGCGGGACGCAGAGCCGCTTCCAGATAGGCCGCATGTCCGGGAGGAGCCCCTTGGGTGCCCTGTAAACCTGAAACTTCTTCTAACTTTCATAAAACTCACTTCGATCATGAACCAGGTTTCGGTGTGAATTCTTTCTCGCGCGGAGCCAAGGACCAAGTTATAAATCTAGCTCCAGAGAGATCTAACACTTCCAAGAGCCCTGCTTATGTTGGGACATGCACTAGAGATTCAGGGGGATAGTCCTTAGACTCAAGGATGATGTGACTCCATCTCATGTACTTTGGACATGTTAGTAGGCAGGTCCAGCGCTTGGTGGAAAAACACCATGTTTGTTAAAGAGAGGAAGACCCTCAGTGAGGCAGACTGACAGAATGGCAGCAAGACTGGGCTGAGGATTAGCCCAGTGTGAGGATGCCGTAGGACCAGGCAGTGCTTCCTTGCTGTACTGGACAGCATCTACTAACGTCACCTGTCCCTGTCCTTGAGGAGTGGAGAGTCTTGCAGTCAGGTCACCGTGTGGCTTTTTTCAAAGGGTACTAAAATATAATGTACTATATAAAACACTATCTATGGAGAAAAAAGAATAAAGATCATCCAGGCAAAAAATTCCCAGCTGGCCAGAGCCCTAGAAAGTCACTTAGCAGTAATTTACAGCTCTTGCCTCCATCGCTGTGGCCCTGTATTTGCTTTCTACTTGGGATGTAACTAAAATTGCACGAGCAGGTATTTGTCAGGGGTGACTAAAATGGCTAAGTATTCGCTGAACACAGTGCAAGCTCCAGTCTCTCCTCGCTCAGCAAGCAGAGGGTGGCTTTTACCCAAGAAGGCAGATCCAAGGTCCAGCGAGCCAATCCGGCGAGCCCCTGCGCACAGTGCTCCCTGCTGACACCCTCCACCTCTTCACCCCCAAGTAAAGGTCAACGTGGCTGCTCAAAGGTGTTTACTGCACTTAAAGACAGGCATCCCACCGGGCTGACCACGGTGACTGCATGGCTAGTCACGGAAACCGGGGCAACGGGGGGCGGGGGTACTGAAGTGGAGCTGTTTCCTATTTTCGCTGAAAAAGCTGCCTTTTCCCGCCGGTGAGTTCGTTCTCTTTGAAGACTGCTAAGACGTGCGCACGCGCGCGCACACCCTCCCTACCCCCACCCCTGGATTTAGGGCTCCGGTTTAATGAGGGTCCCTCCAACGACCATCGAAATCGGCATTGCGTTGCCCAGAGACGGGCTCACGGGCCCATCTCCCCCGCCAGCACCGGGCTCCGGGAGGGGGAGCGTCCGTGCCAGGCTACCGGGACCCACCTGCGTCTGCCCTCCACAAAGCCGCCGCTTCCGGCCCGCCAGCCGCTTCCGCCCTCAGCGTCCTGCACCGGCACTTCCGCCCTCAGCGTCCCGCACCCGGCACTTCCGCCCTCAGCACGGCACTTCCGCCCTCAGCGTCCCGCTCCTGGCACGGGCACTTCCGCCCTGACACCTCCGGGCCTCCAGCTTTGGGTTGGTCCCACCTTCCTCCCTGGCGCCCCCATTGAAGGCGACCAAACCAGGGCGATCGAGCGGGAATGACAAATGACATAAAACCCAAAGCCAGACTGTGTTTTAAAAAACAAAAAAGTCACAGAAAAAGTGACCCCACGTGTTAGCGGAGTTGCTTGAAATAAATATGAAATAGCTCTGTTGTGAGAGCCATTTAACTCTTTGGGCAGTTGTATCCAGCCCCACAGGGTGACTATAAGCCGGAAACGAGGGAAGGCTGTGAGTGTGGGGTTTTGTTTTGTATTTGTTTAGAAGGAGCCTGGTGTCCGAGTGACCTGTGGAGCAGAGTAGAAATGCCCAATGGGATCTTTAAAGAGGGTAAGCGGTGGGCTGCTAACAGAAGGCCAGTTCAAACCCACCCGTGGGTGAAAGATGGGGACTTCAACTCCTGTAAAGAGTGCCAGTCTCAGAAACCCACAGGGGCAGGCCTTGCCTGCCCTATAGATCACTATGAGTTGGAATTGACTCTTTGGCAATTAGTTGTATTCTTTTTGTTGTGGTTTTTGTATTCCTTGACTTCTTTGTTGGTTTACTGTCCCCCTCTTGGTTTGGAAACGACTGCATGCAATGGGTTTGGGTTTTGTTGTTGATGTTGTTGTGTTTGTTGGTTTGGGGATTTTCCTTTTAGTTAGAGGTGAGCTAAGTAATGAGGAACAGGCCGGTGAGTAAAACTCAGAGTCCTCCTCTCTCAATTCCAAATTAAAATTGTGTAAGCAAATGAGACATTTGGTTGTTGTTGTTGCCCGGTGCCATCAAGTTGGTTCTGACCCATAGTGACCCATGCACAACAGAAGGAAACACTGCCTGGGCCTGCGCCATCCTCACCATTGTTCCTGTGCCTCCTCATACCATTGTAGCCGTTGTGTTCATCCATCTCATTGAGGCCTTCCTCCCGTTCACTGCCCTTCTACTGTACCAGACATGATGGCCATCTCCTGGGACTGGTCTCTCCCAACAACATGCCCACAGTACATGAGACGAAGTCTTGCCATCCTTGCCTCTAAAGAGCACCCTGGCCACACTTCTTCCAAGACACATTTGCTTGTCCTTTTGGCAGTCTGTGCATGGTATTTTCAACGCTCTTCGCCAGTACGACATCAAGTAGCAATGTTTTAAATAGGTCCTATATTTACTGGACGATTGGAAGAGAATATGGTTGTGATCCAGTTAAGCTGAGATGTCAAGAGGTGGTGGTGACTGAGCCCTCTCGCCTTAGGAAACAGCGAGGCTGCAGACAGCAGCCCTGGAGCTTGACTAGAATAGTTGAAGAACAGAGCAGGTGGAGAGGAGAGGTCAGGCCAGGCCAGGCCAGAGGGATGGGTGAGAGAGCCAGGCAGGGTCTTCCAGGGTGGTGCGAATGGCAGCTGAAGGACTTTTTGTGGTAATCTGTTTTGGGGTTGGGGCGGAGGGTTGAACTAATTGATTTTCCATTCTGAAAGGATCACTTTGCTTCAATAAAGCCATGAAAAGCGGGTGGAGGACTGTGAGGGCCAAGTAGACATAAAGAAGTCAATTTTTATTACCAAATGATCCAGGTGAGAGGTGTGGTGACTGTCACGGTGGCAGTATACTTTGAGAAAATGATGGGTAATAATCATAGATAATAATGGTGATTCTCCAAGCCAAAGTTTATCGATTGCTTTCCACAAGCCTTACACTTATTAAACTTGTTTTATCTTCAGAACAGTCTTAAGAACTATTATTTATTAGTACTATTTTCAAGGTGTAAAAGACGGAAGCTTCTTAATTCTCCAACTTCTCATTGTGGGGAAAAGACAGAATTCTTTTCCATGCTGTTTACTGCCAATATCCGGGAGCTTGCCACCATATAAACAAACAAGCAAATGAGCTAACAAAAAGCCCACTGCCGTGGAATGGATTATTTATTCTCTCACTCAGGGGATCACTGCCCTTGAGGTTAGCACCCCAATGACCAACTGTGACCTACTATGCCAAATGTACCCAGTGGTTAAAATAATAATAATACTACAAAGCAACCAAGGTCAAGAACGAACCCCCTAAAGAAACCATGGAGAACAAAGATTGCGTCATATTGCCAGAGGACACACTTAGAAAGTAGAGTTTTCAAGTTCACACTTTATCTGTTGAACATTTGCTGATATAGCTTTGGAAAGAGGATTTGGTGGTTGTCAACAGACTATGATTATTTCTGAGTGGATACAATCTGATAAGACTTAATCTTTCTTAAGGAAAAAAGAAAAGCCAATGGTTAAAGTGCATTGCCCCTAACATTTGCTGATAGAATATCTTTAAAGAAGTAATCTTGACTCTAGTTATAAACACATTGATGGAGCATGTGTAACTTGCATTTTGTGGTGTGAGGGGAAGGATTCCACTAGAAATGCAGCTCCAAAGCAGCTTTCAAATCCCATTTCTTGCTGGAAAGAGAAGCTCCACAACGAATGGATTTATGAAGCCTGGTTTCACCCAGAGAAGGAAGGGGGTGATATCCCAAAGGCCACCAATGAAGGTTTTTAACCTTGGCAGTGGGTACATTCCTCTCAGGGCACAAATTGTCAGTGTTGAATTTAATTAGAAGAATTTCTTGGGTTCGGAAAGCAATGATTTAAGACTTAGTATTTTGACATGATTGTTGTGGTGGAGGGCAGTTGTCCAGGGAGATAGCTGAGAATTCACTAGAGTCAATGACCAATCTATGTTGGGAATTCCAGGTATCTGGCTGAGCATCACATACCTGGGAGGGCCAGTTTAACTTGTAGGTATGGGATTCAGAATACAGGGCATATGCGTTTCTGTTTGGGTAAATGTTTGGTGTCTTGCTAGGAAAAATGGTTGCCTGCAAAATAGAAAAGAATGTGGTAAAGTTGATGAACAACGGCATAAAATGTGCCACCGTGGTAGCTTCAATACTTGTTGAGTTTAGTAGTCCTAACAATCTCATTAGATCTGAAAGCAGTTTTCAGATGTGATGCTCTCACAAAATGAGAGTTCCTGAATAGACACAACAAGTGTCAAGAAAACACAACATGTTTTAAATCAGTTACTTTGGCCAAATAACTTGAAAAGAAATACTACGAGGGGGTACCCTCCCAAAAAAGAGGGCAGAAAACGCTACTAGGCGGAGCTTTCAGTATGCATTTTTCCCACTAGGCAAGCATCAAGCAACTCCCTTTGAGTTAATGCACCCAGTGGCATTGCCTGGGAAGTTTCTCTCTGGTCACAGTGCATTTTTTCATAAAAGCAGTTTTACTCCAACCTCATTTTTTGTGATGGCTGATGTAAGAGAACAGGGTGTGACTATGAAATTTAGTTTCCTACTCAGGGAAAAATGCCGTAGAAACTGTTGTGATATTGAACATCGTTTACAAGGACAGCACTATGGGAAAAACTCAAGTGCATGAGAGGTTTCCTCAATTCATAAAAGGTGAAATATCAAAACAAACCACATTTTGGACGTCTGTTAACTTCATGAACAGACAAAAATGTCAGCAAAATTCATGCACTTGTGCTCGAAGACTGACGACAGGCCATTGATGAGATGGGAAGTTATCTGGACCATCTTGGGGCCCAATTCAGTGAATTTTAATGGAAGATTTGGGAATGAGAAGGGTTGCTGCAAAATGTGCCTCAGGTTCTGACTGACCAGGAAACATGCTGTGCTTTGAAAAACCAGCTCTGAATTGACCCAGACTTCCCCCCCAAGGTCATTACTGGTGACAAGACATGATGCTATCTAGTGGAAGATGCCATCGTCACCTCACCTCAAAAACTGTGAAGTGAAATCGAAGATCAAGATGATGCTCATTTGTTTTTTGATGTGAAGGGGATAAGTGTATTTGGAGTTTGTTCCACCAGGTCAGGCTGTTAATCAACCTTTCTATTTAGAGGTCCTGAAAAGATTGTATAACAGTGTGCGACAAAAAAAGGCATGATTTGTGGCACACAGGGGACTGGTTTTACCACCACGACAATGCACCTGCTCATGCAGCCATTTCATTGTGCCAGGTTTTGACAAAAATCAACATGCCTCTATTGCCTCATGCACTTTACTCACCTGACCTCCCTCCATGAGACTTCTTTTTGTTTCCTTGAATGAAGAGGGACATGAAAGGACAACAATTTGACAATGTAGAAGAGGTGAAGGAAAAAAATGAGGGAGGTGCTGCCAGCCATCCAAACAGATGAGTTTGAAAAAGAACGGAATCATAGATTTGACAAATATATTAAGTGTAATGGAGAGCACTTGGAAGGTGATAAGGTGGTTTTGTTAAAAAAAAAAATACATAGCTTTGAAAAAAATTCCATTTTAGGGGGGTACCTCCTTGCATATAAGTCTTCTTAGAGCAAAAAAAAATTAATGTGGAACTTGTGCCTTTTCCCCCATATATTTCAAGTGGTGTGTGAGAATTCAGATCCTGTCTATGGGGTGGTCAGCTGACCAAGCATCGAATTGTTGATGGGGATCTTTTCCTTCTTACACATTATTTGTATTTTTCTCTTTATACTCTTATGATTTAGCCTTACCACCTTAGTGCAATTTTTCTTTTAATTTTCTGTTGGGTTTCCCAGCTGTGAAGCACAGGAGTGGATGTATAATGAAAATAACTGATACAGGGGTTATAGGAAAAGCAGGGGTTGGGGGTGAGCAATAAGCAGGGAAAGGGGGTTTTGGGATTAAATAATGAAAG